CCCCGGGCGGGGCGGGGCGGGTGACGGGACAGAGTTCAGGAAGAAGGTGGCGGTCAGCTTGGAGGTGGAGGAGCTCAGTAGACTTCCCACAAACGTTTCCTGCAGCCCGTCAAGAGCCCTCCTGTTCCTGCTCCCCCCTTTCCTTGCAGATCTTCTGGCTCAGAAATACTCTTAGGTCTCCTTTCAGGCGCTGCCCGTTTGAAATCTTCCTGCAGGTTTTCAGTAATGCTTGAATTGAGACTGTGAAGGTCATTGCAAAGTCTGTACCCCACTTTCCAGTAAGTACTTTGAGGTTGACTTGGACGTGCGTGTTGGATCATTGTCCTGTTGAAACATCCAACCTTTTTTCAGCTTTCAGAGTGGCCTTCACAGTCTCCAGACTTCTGCCCAAGATGTTTCACAATACTGATTGAAAAGGGGTTCTGTATCTGCTGTACTCACCATTTTCTTATTTTGAATATGCAAACAGTTGCACCTAAACAGTAAGCATGCATCCAAATTTGTAGAAAGGTGCTGTGCTGAACTTTGTACCAAGAAGAACTCAGGGGTCCCCAGAGACATGGTGTTGATTAGGGGTGTCTGAGCGTTGAATACAGCACTATATTCATCACCAAAAGATACAGATAATTCTCTTCTCCCCCTGGTATTGTGGCGTCAGCCCTGCACTGCAGGGTTTTTTGGGAGGAGGGTCAGAGTCTTCAGGCCAAGATTGTGGTGCTTGTTCTTGTTGACTGAGACAGTGGCATCTCTGAACTAAATGAGCCAAATCTTTCCAGGATTTGAAATTCCAGATGCAGAAGCAGAGAAGCTGATGAGTCCTCAAGATATCATAGATTACATTGCTGACACGCAAGATGTGTATGAATGAGTTCCTGTCAAGCTGAGTAAGTGGACATACTTTTGCAGATGGGACATGCAGTGATCTTGTGTGGTGAAGTCTGCAAGGAGGGATGATCTGCAGTTGATATCAAGAGCAGGACCCAGTCAGGGAAACAGATGGTGGGAGCCTTAGTAGGCACGGTTTGGACCCAGTAGAGGCAAAATCAAGCTGGATCCATTAACAGTTCTTTGGGAAAGGGCTTGGCTTGCATTTTAGTCTAGGAAGACTGGGTTGCAAGGAAGACCTAGACTGCAAAAAGTCTAGGAAGACTGGGTTGCTAGCCCTGGCAGGGAGGAGAGGAATGTATTGACTGGGAGCACTAGCCCACTGCGGTCTCTTGCTGGCCACTGCTGGCCAGCATCCTTTGACAGAGTGCAAATGAGGGATTCCTGCAGCGGGAGGAAGTTGGACTAGATGACCTCCTAGGTCCTATTCCAGCCTTTACAATGTACATGTTACGATACATTGGAAACGTTGATGGGAAAGAGAAAAGAAGCATGAGAAGCAGCAAGGGCAGGGAAAGGAAAAGGTTTGGACTATCACACCTACCTTTTCTTCTCGAACATTCAGCAGCATATTGGAGGGATGAAAATTAGTGCTTGCAGTCTCATAGTAAATCCAAAATTGGGTTGAAGCCTCAATGTCCAGGGCATTCCTGGGGTGGATTGTGGAATGCAAGCATGAGTGGCAGGCAACCAAATCAGAGCTTGTGGAGAACTGCCTGCAAAGCTTCAGGAAGGAAGCTGCAGGCTGTTCGGCAAGGATGATGGGCCCTGAGGTGGACGAGTTGACTGGCCCAGAGCAGCTGCAAGGCAGATTTTCACAAGAGCAGAACGGGAGGGTGGTGGCCTTTACAAATAGAAACCTTGACTGTGTTTGACAGGGCAGAGAACACCTATGCTTTGGGTTGATGGATGTTGTCTTGGATGGGATGTGGGTGCCTCAGTGTTCATCACAATAGCATATTTACAGTTAATTTTTCTTTTGTCTAGAAACAAAGATAGATTCACCAGGTGGCTTTTCAAACTTCTTGTTCCGAAGATCTCTCATAGCTTTATGATAGTTAAATAAATGATTTCTGAAAGTGATTAGAAAGCAAGGTTAACAAACTTCATGTCCTTCAAGGCTCCACTGTGGTTGTGAGCTTGATGACTGATCCCCTTGTCTCCTGGCACTCAAGCCAGCGAGGGACTGCTATCCGTTCTCCTTGTGAGGAGCGGCTGTCCAGAACATGTCTCCTGTTCTCTCCTTCCCTGGAGAGGTTCCGAAGAACCGGTCTGCTCGCCAGTTCTTCAGTCTTTGCTGTAGTCATTGTCTCTGCTCTCCTGGAGTCGTGTTTAGCTCGCCATGCCTCTCCCGGAGGCCAAGAACCAATCAATGATCTTGATGCATTTGGTTTGACCCCCTGAGCAGCTTGTTGGGTGCATCTGCTCTTCTTGACTGAAATGGATCAAAGTGGTGATCTGGCCCTTGGGCTGGTGGCAAGGCAGTGCTTTGGAGACATGGGAGCCAGTTGAATCTGGCTGCTCTTGACCATGTTTGTGTGATTCAAGTTATCACTGCAAAATTTCCTTTCCAGTGGCCATATGTAAGGTACAAATATTTTCTCCCACCCTGCTCATAGATAATTACTGTTCTGAAAGCGGGATGATGTGATCGAGAAGGATGATCCTGGCAAGCAAGCCCCTTTGCTGTTTGGAATCACTGTGGCTCTCAGAGGAAGAGTTTTGTTCGTTATATTTAAAGTTGTATATGTTTGCCTTCGGAATAAATATGAATAATTCTTATCCCTTTAGTTCCATTATCACTGGTTTTAAAACTCTGTTTCTCAAAACTTTCACCAGATGTCCCCTGGGAGGCCATTCCAGAGAACCTGCACAGCCACTGAGGACTCTGTGATTTTGCACCGTTCCCTCCTCCCCATTTGGATATTTCCAGCAGTGCAGTAGCTTCTGGTTTCACTAATGGCATTGCTGCTGCATTTAAAGGACCACAACCGCAGAATGCCTGTGGCTGCACAAGAAACCAGGCTAACACGCAGTTGGTTGGGTTGTGGCTCAGTTATTGCTAATTCAACCCCCTGTAGTTAACCAGGAGCGCGTGTCTTGGTTCTTGATACCTGTGAGCTTTTCAGAGTTACTGTAGGGTGGACCCCAGGAGGGGAATGCTTGCTGCAGTGATGCAGCCCTGAACACAGTGGGCACATACTATGTGCACAGAGGAGTACAGCCTGTATCTGCAATACCATTTTAATGAAAAACCGACCTCAACCTTGTAGAGAAAAAGTATCTGGCTCCCCTTTGCTTTATGTAGCTGTTTGTATGATGCATTTAGCCAAACTGTAGGGTTGGCACAGCAGATTGAGACGTGAAATCACGTGCTGGTTCATACAATAATACACGATTGTGGGTTGTGCAAGCGGCTTGTACTGGGAGATCCCTCAGGGCTTTGTAAAAGTCGTCATGAGCCTACCTCCGGTGCAGTTGGGCAGAGGAAGGATGAATTGTTTGCGGCTCACTGTTACTTGAACCCAAACAATTGGCCTATTTCAATCAACAGTGGATCAGAGTGTGGTGTGAACAGTTCTTTCAGGCTCATGTAAAGCCAGATAACTATTTGTATCATCAAGACTGCCATCTCTCAGGATTCTCAGCAGCTTACAAGATGTATAAGAAACAACAAAAATACACACAAAGGGTCCACAAACAAGTGAAAGCAATAAAACCAAAACAATAAGCAAACCAAGGCAGACTCAAGGTCCAAAGGCTCTCCAGAAGACGGTGCCAGCCAGCCACACGCCCCCGGGAGGCCATTCCAGAGAACCTGCGCAGGCACTGAGGAGTGCAGCCAAGCCTGGGCCCCTCTTGCCTTATTAACGTGGGGCACAATCATTTCTCTGGGCAGACAGAACTGGCCAGGTGGGTCCAATAAGAGGGCAAGCTCCTGCAGCCCACTGGGGCCAAGTCACGCAGAGAGGTGTTTTCTATCTGGTGGCGATGATGGGACCGGCTTTCCACCTAAAACACAGCTCTTATCATCCCACCCTCAACCAATAGTGACTTGTGGGAACATTTACATTTAAACTACATTTAAAAGGTGGTAAGTTGGGAAGTGCTGCCACGAAGCAGGGGGCATCACACGTAGCTTCTAGACAAAGGACTGGGCAACAGTTCCTGCAGCTTCAAGCGAAGTTGCTGGGCTCTTTTGAAAAAGGTGCCAGGGTGGACCACAGAGCTGCAACAGCTGAGGGTACAGGAGGCCCTTGGCAGGGGTGAAGGCCAAGCCAACCTGGTGGTGGGGAAGTGTTGCTTTCTTGCTGAAAACAGGCTGAAGCTGCTTTGCCAACAAATATTTCCCACCAGCCTCTTTGGGACACCCTACATGCACTCTGCTGGGCACATGCGCCATCACAGGGTCTGCAGTCTTCTGCACCAACACCTGTCTAATGCAGGCAATGTTCACTTTCAATTCAATTCAATCCTGGTTTGATCCGGCTAGTCAAACTGATCTGACAACTGAATCTGTTTTCTTAACAGATTCTCTAACAGCTGTTTCTGCATATGTGCAAAAGCATCCAGATCTATTTGAAAGCCTCAGTTCAACTCCCATTTGATTTGGAATCAATCTTATCCAACTGGCTTTGAATCCAACCTCCAAAATGAATTTTTACAGAGCCTTTATTGGTGAGCATCTTAGAGGTCATCCAGTGAATTTGCTACAGAAAAATAGAGGCTCTGCCTGACAGTTCAGGGCACCCACTTTCTAATTGTGTGTGGGGAGACTTTGGCCCTCCAGATACTGTTAGGGCTCCAGCAGGGCCTGGTTAGAGCACCAGCAGCAGGGGGAGAGGCTCCTGGCTGCAGCTGAGCTGCATTTGAAGGACCTTGAAGGTTTCTCGCTCTTCTGCTCTTCCATCAGGTCCCTGCTCAGCGTGTTACCCATGCTGTCCAAGCAGTCTGGCCTTTCAGCTCCTGAGCTGGGGAGTCTCTCTGCTCAGCAGCAGCAGCAGGCCTGCTCTGCTAGCTTAAGGTCCCAGGCTCAGTACGAGGCATCCCAGGTTGGGTTAGAAAAACCAGAGGGTCTTTGTTGGCCAACAGTGGCTATACAGAAATAATTTAATGGGTTTCTTACTCCCAGGCAAGGGATTTTGAGAGATGGGTCTTTTCAGGTCAACCGATTCTGTGACCATCTTCTCTTTTACAGCCCAAAGGTCCAACTCCCACTTTGAGAAAATGGAACTAGTCAGTCAAGAGAAGCTGGACCTGACCTCCAACAAACTGTTTCACATTCAAAATTCATAGAATCAGGTGACTGGAAGGGACAAGGATCATTTTGTCCAACCTCTGCAACATGCAGGAAATGGCCCAGAGCTGGCTGATGTCTCCACTTCTTAAGCAACTCTACATATGCTTAGACACGAAGGTGCTAATCATGAAGCAGTGCAAGCCCTTGACGTTCTCTGTGCCACTCAGGTCCTATAGCTTTTTGATCAGCTAATTTTTCTGGAGGGAGCCCAAAGAACAATCCTGATTGTACGTCAAAGATACTGGAGGTTTATGAATTGTTCAAAAGTTGTTACAAATTGTAGGCAAATAGTTCTGTCACATCATGCAAGGTTGACTAATTATATCCTGCATGAACATGGGAATCACCTACCTTTGTTAAATAATCAAGAAAGAAATCAAGAAATCAAGATCAAGAAAGAAATGGTGGAGTTGTTTGGGAGAAATAATACAGGATGTCAGTACTTCGAAAATGCTACTCCAAATACCCTTGGGACCTCCATGCTGTCTGTAACAGAAAAGGCAAACAGGCAGCATCTCTCCACGTAAATCCAATGCCTCCATGTGGTGAAGGGCTGCTGCTGGAGAGAAAATTAGAAAAGTCCAACACAACAGATAAGCAGCCCCAAAAGTCATGATTTATTAATATCTGGAGAAACTTCATAATTTGAACACAACCCAAACTGTACATTTTACAATCACACTCTATTTGTAAACAGTTAAAAAGCCACTGACAACTTTTGCATCTTCAGACACAACAGTTAGAATCAAGGCAATGAAATGAGAGCGTCTTTCGGCACAGTTAAAATTTTTTTTATCCTTGTTCAGTATTTCATCCTCCGACTAAACAAGCATCAGATAATACCATTTGTGGCAAAAAGGAAGATGAGTTTAACACTTTCACAAGAAAAGTATTTGCAGGAACTTTAAACATTTAAAATTTATACAACAAAATTCTGTAATTCCAAATCCTTGGTTACAGACTGCATAGTTACTTCAGCTTTAAGGTTAAACATGAAACACAGTCACGAGAGCAGGAAGAGCATCGCACAAGGGGGAGGGTAGGAAGAGAGGAGCAAAGGGTGGGCTTTACAAAAATGGGAAACTACAGATTACAAGCCAAGCACCACCCTTCCCACCCCGCGCTATTAAAAAGACAGCATCGGAAAGCACAGAATGTCAAACTCCAGCGAATTGAAGCAATTTTTGGCAGAAGTCATTTTACAGAGCAAGTAATAATCAGTGCTAAAAGTTATTTTCCTATAAGAAACTACAAGGAGTTCTACTGGGGACCTTAGTTTTCCTGAGAGCCATGCTCTTGGATTAGGAGGCGGGAATAGAAAAAACTAATGGAACGTGGCCGCACACGGCCTGTGATTCCCAGAGATCAAGAGGAAGCATCTTTATCATCCACATTTTTTTTTGTTTTTTAAAAAATATTTAAGTGATGGAAGAGTAAACATTGTTTCTTAAAAAAAAGAGAGAAAGAAAATTTTCTGTAAACAAGGCAGTGCCCCAACAGGAGCCCCCCAAATAAAAGACAAAACCCAAATGCCTCTTGAAAGTGCAGGGTCCGCCCAGGCGAGCCGGCTGGGTTGCGAGACAGCTGTGCGTGCAGTTCCAGAAACCGCCGATCTCCATTCTTTAGTTGGGCTCCGTGTGAGCCAACAGGTGCAATACGTCTTCATCCATCATCCGAGCAGAGTCTCATCCCCCGATGGTTTGGCACCGCGGACTGCCACCTGACGCGGAGTGGCCAGGCAGGCAGGCAGACAGACAGACAGACAGACA